TATATATAAAATATTTTTTTAAAAAACAAAAAAAAAATTATTTTAAAAACTTTTTTTAAAATAAGTTTATATATATTTATTTATTTTAATTCTTATATATATATGCACAATTTTACCCATTTTCAAATTAGTGAAAATGGTGAAAAGAAATTGAATGATCATGATGATATTAAATATAAAGTTAGATTGTCATCGTAAAACAAAATCAAATTAGGTGATTATAATGAAACTAATGGCCCGTTTGATTCTCATTATTGTAGAATAAGAATGAAAAATATAGTTGTTATTAGGCCTCACACAAGACATAGAAATTCAAAATTGATGGTTTGATGAGTGGATAACGGTCATATTTTTCATTTTTATGGATGAAAAATGAGAAGCAAATGGAGACTAAATATAAAATTGGGTGACAGTTACTTAGCCATTGTTTGAGCCACATTAAATTTTACATTTTCATTCTTTTACTCATTTTCAACCACACATTCTTCAATATAATATTTTTATCACATTAATAATTTTTCCTTCTTTTTCAATCATATATTTTCATCAATTTATTATTTTAAAATACATTCTTCCAAAATAATGAGAAGTTTTTTAGGAATTAAATTAGGATCTAAGAACTTCCACATTGGCAGGCGGCCGTCGGTTATTAGCAAAATTTCTGACTTATCAGTACACAAAACTTTCCAAACTACTGTCTACGTGTCGCGGTCATATTTGCCATTTCCAAGTGTCACTTCATCATTAGAACCATTCGTAACCCGCTTGTCACCGCTCTCCAAAATAACCCTCAAGACCCCATGCCGTTAAATCATCTTCTCCAACCCATTTCTCCATTCCGCCTCCAAATCCACGCCGCCCAACACCATCCCGCCCCCGAATCTATACATACATAATCTGTATCTATCTGTGTATAACAAAATGGAAGCTCTCTGTTTTGTCCCTGCTCAGTCACCCCTCCTCCGATCCAAATTCACCACGAATGCCCCCGTCAAATCACCCTCCACAACTGTAAAAACGAACCGCGTAAAGCCGTTTATTGAAGCCACGTTATCAAAATCGACGGGGGATATTTCACCGGCCGTGGACAAGTCTCCGCGGGCTGCATCATTGGCGGCGGCGCCGCCATTGTTGAAAGTGTCCCCGAGCTCTCTGCACTGCGAGAGCGGGTACTTGATACCGAATTTTCCAGATGGTAATGGTGCCTTAAGCGATGGTGCTTTGAATGCTATGCAGTATTTGACGAACATTTTGTCGTCCAAGGTGTACGACGTGGCGTACGAATCTCCATTGCAGCTGGCGGAAAAGCTCTCGAAACGGTGGGGGGTCAATGTCTGGCTCAAGAGGGAGGATTTACAGCCTGTATGAATATTGTTATCAATATGAGATTCTTTTGGTATCTCTGTTTTTCAGTTATAGTAACATGTGAAATAATTTGAATTTTGTTGAAAATTTGGATTTTGGGTTATTTTTTTCGGTTGAGGTGGAGAAGATTGTGCTATGTGTTAATTCTTTTGTGTTATCTACGAAGACTTTCAAATTAGTAGCTATGGAAGGCAATACCTTTTAAATTCATTGAAAAAATTATAAAGCATTTGTTACAGACTTACAGTAATGGCTAAATTTCTTAAGGTTAGGAAAAATTGTGTAATTTAAGATTTATGGGTTTTCTAAAATTTAAAAATTTGAATGATCACATTTGAAGGTATACCAATTTTGGAAAAGTCTGGGGGTACATCCTTATGATGCTTCATTTTAAAGTGCACTCTTACCGAATAACTGGATGCTGAAGTGCTATTATGTGCTTGGTGTTTTGATTTCATTGGCAGGTTTTTTCATTCAAGCTTCGAGGGGCATACAATATGATGGCAAAACTTCCACAGGAACAATTGGAAAGAGGAGTCATATGCTCATCAGCTGGAAATCATGCACAAGGAGTGGCATTATCTGCCCAGAGATTGGGCTGCGATGCTGTGATTGCTATGCCTGTTACTACACCAGAAATCAAGGTTAGTACTTGTTTCGTACATTTACTGTATGTTTTGTAGTTTCCACATATAACATCGTATGTCTATTCTAAACTGCTGATCTGTTCGTGTAGTGGAAATCAGTAAAAAGTTTTGGGGCAACAGTTGTACTTGTAGGGGATTCTTACGATGAAGCACAAGCATATGCAAAGAAACGGGCTGAGGATGAGGGGCGCACTTTCATTCCTCCCTTTGATCACCCAGATGTCATAACTGGGCAGGGGACAGTTGGAATGGAGATCGTACGCCAAATGAAAGGCCCAATACATGCGATATTTGTGCCAGTTGGAGGTGGCGGGCTTATAGCTGGTATTGCTGCCTATGTGAAGAGAGTTTCTCCAGATGTAAAGATTATTGGAGTCGAACCATATGATGCAAATGCAATGGCATTATCATTGTACCATGGTCAGAGAGTAATGTTGGACCAAGTGGGAGGTTTTGCAGATGGTGTAGCAGTTAAAGTGGTTGGTGAAGAGACTTTCAGTGTGTGCAGAGCACTAATAGATGGGGTAGTTCTTGTTGGCCGTGATGCCATTTGTGCATCAATAAAGGTTAGCCTGTTATTTCGGTTTTAAGAGTTCTGTTTGCAATTCCTCTTAATGCTTTCTTGTTACCATCCTGATTTATTCTCTGCGTTCCTGTCCGGGAAAATGTATCTTCCTGCTGCATAACTATTGTTGGAATTTTTTATTCCTGTGTGCATTGATGGAAATTGTTTTTGGAGTCATGGTGCTATTGTGAAAGATTTGTTTTGTATTTGTGGTGAAGCTTTCTTGCATTTAGCTATATTTGCTTGGTTAAGGTTCATATCTGCAGTTTTCCTTTTTTCTCCCTCTACAATACAAGGAAGCATTTGTCTCCTGTTTACATTGTCATTTTTATGAACTGCCATAATTTGGCACCAGAAGAATCTTTTAGTTATTAATTTTCTTAGTGATACTATCCTCTCTATTTCATGTAATGAGTATAAACGAATGGTGATCTTGATAGAGCCTGATTACATTGGTTTTTACTTTTTACTGTAAGTAGCCAAACACATGAAAATATTTACACGGTACAATAATTGTCCTTAAAAGACACCAGTTTACAACTAATGTCACATTTGAATCCTTGGATTACTTTACAGTCTCGCATTTTGGAAAATCTTTAAATGCATTTGTAAATGACCTTTGCAAAGAAGCTCAAGTGTAACCATTGTCCTTTGAAAAGATGGTTAGCACTTCTCTTTGGGAAATTTTGCTCGATATGCTAAGATTTTACAATAATGATACTTTGAAATGATTGTGTGTACAATTTCATACAGTGCATATTTATCTTACCAATAATAAGCATGCCATTTTTTACTGTGTAATGATACTTTGAATTGATTGTTGAATAAGACTGCAACGTTGATACCTGGAAATTTGAGTTTCATGTATCTGACCAGTTAACCTTGTTTCAGGATATGTTTGAGGAGAAAAGGAGCATTTTGGAACCAGCAGGAGCTCTTGCCCTTGCTGGAGCTGAAGCATACTGCAAGTACTATGGACTCAATGGTGAAAATGTAATAGCTGTAACCAGCGGAGCTAACATGAATTTTGATAGATTGAGGTTGGTAACTGAACTTGCAGATGTTGGTAGACAGCGCGAAGCTGTACTTGCAACTTACATGCCAGAGGAGCATGGAAGCTTTAAGAGATTCTGTGAGCTTGTTGGTCATCTAAACCTTTTGTCTTATTTCTCCCAACTTTCTAAGTGATAGCATATTAGACACTTACTGTTGTTTGGGTTGCAGGTAGGACCAATGAATATTACTGAATTCAAATACAGATATAATTCTGATAAGGAGAAAGCTCTAGTACTATACAGGTAAGAGCTCTGTTATATGTAAGTTGATCACTTCTGTCACTTAAATGAGATATCAACAGAAAGTGTTCCTTCTGCCCCATATGGACTAATGCTCTGAGGTTTTCCAAATGGAGTGCCACTTCGGATAACTGGAAGTTATTAATTTTAAAGAAAACAAAAATGCACTGAAGGTCAAGTACCAACAAATTCAAAATTAAAATAAGCATATATGTAGCCCCTGATTGATCCACATTAAAATTTTCATTCTCATTCTTCTACTCATTTTCAACCATACATTCTTCAATGAAATAATGTGTTCCGTCACATCAATAATTTTTCCTTCTTTTTCAACCACACATTCTCCATCAATCTACTATTCCAAAATAATGTGGCTCAAACACACCCGTAATGTTTAGAAAACTTTTATTTTTTTAAATTGTTTTCATTATTTTTTAGTATTCATGCTTCTGGGAAAGTTGACCATAATATGCACCGGGCTACAATTTATCCTGATTTAAAATTAGGACAAGAATTCTACAATCTGTAATTATTCAGGAAGATAAATTTCTCTACATAGTTATCTTTTCCTTTTTTCTACAGCGTTGGCCTTCACACAAAATTAGAACTTGAAGCAATGGTGGAGAGGATGAAATCAGCTCAGCTACAAACCATTAACCTTACAAATAATGACCTGGTCAAAGACCATTTACGACACCTGGTAATTTTCTTTTTGAATATGTAAGCACATTGTTTGTCTAATTTGTATGCACGAATTCATGTGAAACCTTTTATTATTTGGCTTTGTCAAAAGATAAACTGATCGAGAAGCAACTAATTTCTTACAAAAGCAAATCTCCTGTGAAGCTACTAAGCATGTGAGGCTTTCTACATCATATGATTAGCTGTGGGCACATATTACATGCATGAAATATAGAACAATGTTATTGGGATTGGGAAATAGCAATTTATTCTTATAGTCTGACGTGTATTAGAATTTGTTTGCAGCTTACCGATTTGTGCCCTAAAGCTCAAAATCTTCATGGAGGAATGAACTAGGCTACTTAGGTGTTGAATCATTTGGTCCTCTATACTTTTGCATATAGAATAGATTATCTATAAGGTATTTGATGAATGAGGACTACTTGCAGTATTAAATGTAAATGAGTATCAGTTTTGTTCTCAATGACAAGGTAACTAGAGTTCCTTTCACTTCCACCGGAAAAGGATGTTGCATGGAATATCTGAGTATGCATTTTATATCTGGTAAGTACGTGTGTGCTGACTACATTTTGGATCTCTTTCAGATGGGAGGCCGATCAAATGTTAAAGATGAGCTTCTTTGCCGTTTTGTTTTTCCTGAAAGGCCAGGAGCTTTGATGAAATTCTTGGATGCTCTGAGTCCACGTTGGAATATAAGTTTGTTCCATTATCGGGGACAGGTTGCTTCTCCAAACTTTGTTTACTTTTATCGTTTAATCCATATTTGACTAGCACAATTCATCTTTTCACTGTGTGTATAGGGAGAAACTGGCGCAAATGTGTTAGTTGGCATTCTAGTTGCTCGCACTGATATGGATGAGTTCAGGGACCGTGCAAACAGTCTTGGATATGAGTATGAACTAGAAAGTGATAATGAAGCGTTCCAGCTTCTGATGCGATGAATGAGGTTGCTTTGTTATATAAGAGTGCAGTGACTCTTCCTAATCAAGTTAGGTTTTGTAGCTTTCAAGCAGATTTCCTGAGAGATTGTACCTGTTGCCACTATCATATCTGGAGCAGAGAAGAGAGGTACGGCTTTTATCCTTGTCCCTTTGTTCAGAATGTACCATCATTTCCTCCTGGCAATTGGAGGATATACAGTCAAGTCTCTACATTCTTTAACCGGGTGGATAGTGTTAAGCTCAGTTCTTTGTATAACAATATCTATACGAGTTATCAAAGGAGTTTACTTATAGGCGTCAACGAGGCCTGTACTTTCTATTTTTGCCAGCAAGTCTTTTTTTTTTTCGTGTTAAAAACTTGACTTCTTCAGGATTTTGTAAAAGAGTTTTGCTTTAATATGTATATCATGAAGACCGCTTAATGTAATGATCAGTCAAGTTCCATAAAAGGCACTTATCATATTCTGATACTTGTTACCTTGTGATAATACTTAAAGAGTTGCTTGTGCGTCTAAAATCGATCCCACTACATGCACAATCATATGGAGTTACCTGGCAATATGTTGAGTTCTGGTTTTGCTCATTTTTTGCATTCACCAACGGCCACTTTCTTTGGAAGATGAGAGTAAATTTCTCTGCTATGTAATGTTGATATACAGATGCAATGGTGGATTATATTCGTCTTGTTTTCAATTGTTGACATAGCTGGCTCGATAAACATTTTGACTAAGATAAGTCTCACAACATGGGACTTGCTAATTACATGCATATAAAACCTTCTGCGTTAGCCATCCCATCTTTTAGTCGTTTTAAAACTTGCAAAGAGCCATTCGACTATAAGCATCTTGCATCTGTACTTAGCATGACAGTAAGGGTTTCAAGGGTTGCACCTGGCTGACACAGCCCGTCTCACCTCTGGACCCTAGGTCTGTGCCCTGTGGGAGAGCTTGGGTTGGCCTACCCTATTTTTTGGACTTTATATGAGAGCTTGGGATCTTTCAAAGTCTTAAATTTGAATCTAGAAAGAAGTGATAAAAAGTGAGCAAAATGGATGCACACACTCCGAAAATGAACAATACGTATAATATAATGACTTGAGTACAGAGAGTCGGATCGTTACAATGTGACTTCTAATGGTCGTGGACAAAAAGTAACGATTCTTGGAGATCAATGATGCTACAAATAGAAATGTAACGACCCGGGTCCCACTTAACGGGCTGTCTTGACCGTTAGATCGACGACGTACTGTCCTTACTGTACCAACATGGGTCTTTTCAGCATGCTTTGTCCTCACTCGCACGCTCCCCAGATCGCTACACAAATATTTCTGTTTTATAATAAAATTTTGGGAAAATCTTTTATTTACTTTAGAGTGAGCAATGGTTAACATTAGT